TTATTTCTTTACAATTTACTGTGTATGACACATCACATCATATTTGTAAACAGTGTCTGAGAAAACTACAAAAGCGGCGTGGACTTCTCACCAGGCAGGCATTTCGGAGAAAGCCAGCCAAAGAAACTAAAATCTTTATTTAGCCGTAACAAACAGAGGTCAAGAAAATTTAAACACTTTACAACTGCATCTGAAATCAAATCCTATCGGGAACATCCACAGAAGCATAAACCACAGGAAATGATTACTCAGTATGCATATAACAAACCTGCTTCATGACCTCTAAATGGAACACTTAAATGAGATTTACTCAGTCAAAGGTTAGAATGCTACATGCACTGTGTAGTGCTAATAATAGGGAGTTTAAGATACGGCGACTACGGACTACGGCTACGGTTAAACATGCTACTGCGCATGATCAAAACCACGTGACTGTTAATTTTTCCCACGTAGTCCAGCGGCTACGGTGAGTTGTTGAGCTGTTTCGCGTAGTCGGGACTACGCAGAACATTTTGGTCGTATTTTGCCGTTTCGGTAATTCAAGAATCTCGTCTTTTCGTAAAAAAGTTTTCAATTCACCTGCTTTAAGCGAGAGGGAAGCGAAATATGTAAGTTGTGTCTAATTTCTGCTCAGATTTACGCTTTTAATCCACTGTTGTGACTACATTTTTATCTAGTTAAGCTTAGAATTCAGATTGACGGCCGAGGAGAAGAGAAATCATGCAGGTAATTTACTTTCTCTTCGCACTTGAAAAGTTTCAATGTTTGTTCGAACTGATTATTTTGTCTTTCTACTTGTGTAACCTTCGTTTATGCGAGTTTTTGTATCGCTTTTGCTGAATGAAAACGATGTAAACATCTTCGACACAATCGAAACTCGGCATTTCAATACTTCAAACTACATCAGATCAGTAGTCGGAGAAGTCCATCTTCTAAATCTAATAAATGAGCTATTACTATTTCTGTCTATTTCTTTAGTATTTGACATAAGTATTCATGGGGAAAAAAATATAACCTGCGTAACCAAAACTTTGTTCACCAATTTCACCCGACGTAATTGCTTCCTTCAAGTATGGAAGAATTTGTTCATTGTTCTAAAGATAAGATCACATGCAAAACTGACTTGCATTTTTGTGAACTGTGATGAAAACAAGAAAAGTTTTGCGTGTTGTTTCCCTCTCCGCCTCTTCTCTCGTAGTCTACTGTCTGTAGTGCAATCTTAACGTTCTATATTTGCATGACTCAACCCAGTGCTACAAACAAAGGACAACGCTCGTCCAGCCGTAGTTCGTAGTCCGTAGTCTTTGTATCTTAAACTCCCTAATCTTCGCGCGAGAGAGAAAAGAAGAAAAACCTCTGTTCAAGCAGACTCTCAAGGTCACGTTTCGCCCGTATCAGGAGCTTATGATGTTTTGTTTGGCCTGTCAACTCTTTATATTTCTAACCGGATATTATTTCACAATTTATGCGAAATAGAATACCCTGCCAGCGGGACGCTGGAACACGATTAGCGACGGCGTTACGCAGACGTCCCTTTTCCGCGTGCAACAAAGGAAATAGGAGACGTCTGCACGCAGGCAAGTGCAGAATCTACAGACGGTGAAATGGACAGCTACTGCTTTGGTGTGCGTGAGTATATGAACAGCACGCAACGTTGAACAAGACACAAAACCTTTCCGCTTTTCTCTGATTGGACAAAACATTACTTGATAAGTACCGTCTTGAAAGGAATGTTCATAATGCAATCAAAGGGATAAATGAAACCGTGTTTTAGGACTGAGTTGTGATTGGTCGTATCCGCACACAAAACATTCCGATGTTGTTTCGCTTGCCGACGTTGATAGACGCGTTTCAATAAAACTTACAAGATCACTTTCGTGAGCCTCACGCGGCATACAAATATAAAAATGATTGGTGTAAAGCAAATGCGATGTTTTCGTGATGTTTCGAAGGTTAACTGGCTTATAAGACAAATGCCGTCTTTTTAGAATATTTTAATTTTGCACAATTATCTTTGTTTTCACCTTTCCGGCGTATAAACACTGAAAGCACGTGCTTTCAATTAGTCACGGAAAGCACGTGGGGCCCTGGTAGTAGATGCTCGTGTCACGGTGTTTGTGTGTGTATGTTTTTTTTTTTTTTTTTTTTTTTAGGGTTCTCTGCCTGTAATAAAGTACGTGAGGATAATTGTCATTATTAGATCAGTCAATTTTTGAAGAAGAGGAAATTACATCATCCTTAATAAAGGATTCACATAAGTTTTAGCACCAAGAAGTAGAACTACTTTCATTGCTGGAGCACTGCCACGCATCTCATATTTTATGAAAAGTAATATACCTATTCGGTCTATTCACGTGAGCAGGGTGGTTAGTTTAAACATTTCTGACCTGGAATATGCAATTGATAATTTCAGATTAAACTCCGTGTTAGTGTGGGAGTGATACACGATTTGGTGTAAAATAACACACCAGTTGTGTTAAGTTCTTGCAAGATTTCTGAAACACAGACGTAGTGTAACTTTACACCGCCAACGTGTGCCACATTTCTTGATTACACCATTTTAGTGTTTTCATACACTGAATTGGTGTATCTTTTAAGAAACACTCGGCAAGTGTTATGATAACTCTCATTCAGTGTTAATGTATATCTCCCTTGGTGTTAATTTACAACCTCGAATTTGCTGTGCCTTGTCTCCGCTCCTCTCTTCACTTTTTTATTTCTGCTTCATTCAATTCCATCGAGTTTTCACAAATTTGTGCTTTCAGTGCTATTTCATCTTCCCTGTCACCGCTCTTCTCTTCGTTTTTTATTTCTGCTTCATTCTGTTCCACTGAGTTTTCACAAACTTGAGCTTTTAGTTCTATGTCATCGTCCCTGCCACCGCTCTTTTCTACGCTTTTCACTTCTGCTTCATTCTGTTCCATGCAGTTTTTCACAAATTTGTCCTTTCAGTTCTATTTCATCTTCTTTGCCACCGTTCTTTTCTTTACTTTTCATTTTTGCTTCATTTTGTTCCATTGAGTTTTCACAAGTTTGTTCTTTCTGTTCTTTTTTATTTTCCCTGCTTCCGCCCATCTCTTCACTTTTCATGATTTCCGTTGCATTCTGTTCCTCTGGCTGTTCACTTCTCTGTTTTTCCAGTTCTGGTTTATCCTTTTTGTTACGTTCCATCTCTTCTCATGTTATTTGCAACGCGTTTTCGCAAGTTTGTTTCAATTTCCTATCATCTTCCCTGCTTCCTTCTTTCTGTTTATCTGTCATTCCTGGTGCCTTCAGATCTATTCTGTTTTTCCGGGTTCGTCCTTCTGTGCATCTGTCCCGATCCTTTTTAACTCCGTCGTAGCATTGTCTGCTGTTTGTGATTTTTCCCTTTTTTTCAGTCCTCTTATTTGTTTCTTCGATTTAAGATTGATTGACATGAAGTTTGGGCGTTTTCCAAAGACATAGCGACCTAGTGTTTCGAAAAAATGTCTCTTCTCGACTGTGTTATCCTGAACTTTAAAGTAGGCGACGGCATCGCTAAAAAGGCTGTCTTTGGCAACGTAACAGGATTTGTCTGTCTCCTGATAACTTCTGCACATCCACTCACTTATAGCTCCTGGGGAAGAGGGGAGTCCTGTTTCTTCTCCTAAAAAGTAAATTAAAGCAATAATTAATTCTTAAAGCTTCAATTTATTTTAACCTGCGCGAGGATTCATAGTATACTTCAACAACCATTAGAATCGAAAGAGTGTTTACTGAGCATTTACTGTATATGCGAGGATAAAAAATATAGGATAGATGCTATAAAAGACCCGAGTGAACAAATTAATGTCATAACACATTTAAATGGCTATCAAGCACAAAAGTCGTGAGGAATTGCTTAACTGGATTATGACAAGAGTTCATTCTGAAATGAAAGAGTCACTGTTGTTATGAATAATATTTTTTATTATTAAAGTTTTATATTTTATTATTTTGTGTGTAACAGCCATTCCCTCTTGCATAAAGTCAAAAATCTCTGTTGTGTTAAATCACATACAGTCGGATTCTCATAACATAACGAACGCATTTTCTATTAGAGGGTCCGTGCACGGTTCGGCCAACCCTTTTTTTAAATTTTCTGTTCCATGTTGAGCAAACAGAAAGATATGAAATTGACATCTTTTTCGATTAATTCTTTTATAATGTTACAAGTGTCGAAATTGTTTTTGCTTTAAAAACACCTTTTTATTGAAATTTTATAATATGACGGCGCCAAAGAATTTTTGCACTTAAAAATAATGGTAAAATCTCCAAAAATTGCCAAAATTCCAGAAGTCCTTGTTTCTTTTCTTGAATCCATAAATCTTATCCCTCCATAACAAAAATTACTCAACATCTTCTTTTTACTGTTTTATGCTATCCTTTTCAAAAAAAAAAGATAAACAAAATTTGACTTCCGTTTTATCGTTTTTGTATTTTCGAAAAAAAAAAATACAAAAAACGAAAAACGAAATTCGACTTTCCTTTTATCGTTTTCCTTTTTATGTTCAAACAAACACAAAAAACGGAAAAACAAAAATGACTTCCGTTTTATCGTTTTTCCTTTTATGTACGAGAAAACACAAAAAGGAAAAACAAAAATCGACTTCCGTTTTATCTTTGTTCGTTTTTGGTACGAACAAACGCAAAAAAAAACGGAAAAACGACAAATGACTTCCTTTTTATCGTTTTTCCTTTTATGTACTAAAACACACAAAAACATACAAACGGAAACTGACTTCCGTTCTATCGTTTTTCGTTGTAAGTACGACTAATCAATGAAAGAAAGAACTGGATATAACCTAATTTTTTGTTTATAGTTTTTTCGTTTTCTCTGGCTGTTTAAGTGAACCAAGAGCAGAGACAGAGAGGGGTCGAGGAGGGGGGGGAGGGGTTTGAGTGGGGGTTGGTGGTTCCTTTCGGAAACTCGTCTAGGTGTTGTTGGTCAGCAGTTTTTATAACCGTGGTATGCGTCTATTTTCGCGGGTCCTTCAAAAATGGCGGGGATGGAAAACGTAGTTACTTCCCGCTACGTGAAGGAGCTTGTTGAAGAGCAAGGCAAAACACAAAAAGAAGTAGCTGATATTTTAAGACAACAGCATCCGGGAGTGAATGGACTATCTGAGAGGAGTGTCAGGCGATTTTGTGCTACGAATGGCATACGGCGTTATGATTCTCGTGTGACTGGTGTTGATGTTCACAATGTGGTTACATCTGCGATTGCTGAGGTGATTGTAGCTTCCCTTTATAATATTAGATTCAGCTAGTGGTAATATCGTAGCATACCTCTGCCAGTTGCAAATTGTCTTATTAGTCTTCCGTCTGCAGCCGTCATTAGGGCCAACGGGTTACTCTCTTTCCCGAATTATATATTTTATTAAACAGAGAGAAGTGTTGAGTGACGACTCAAACTTCAATGCTTGCCAGTGCGTAGGAAACCCAGGGGGGGCACTTATCGGAAGTTTCGGTAGGGGTGTGCCGCTGAGGCTTTCAAACCCTATTTACGACAACAACCATCCATTCCGATACTCTGTTTAATACAAGAGACCATTTTCATAACCCTTAAGATTATTTATTTCTATACGTCTACAGAATTAGTATTTTTATTTGTGAAAAAATAACATGATAGGACTAGATTTCTTAAGAAAATATGTTGTTGCCATCCATTGACTGCACAATGCCAGCAATCATCCCCTGTTCAAGGCCTCCGGTTCAGAAAGACACCCTGTTCAGGACCTAGAAAAGTGAAATTGTATACCCATTATAAGAATCAATATCACGAAAACTATGCCCTGTCCAGCGGCACATGCCCTTTAGGCCGAATAAAGGAGTTCCCCTCCGGGGGGAGGAGACACGTTATTGTACGTGAAATGCACGCGTTTGTCAATTTCATTTAAGTGGTTATATTAATTCATATCTAATTTAAGAGCCTCATCATCCACACCCAAATATTTCATTTCCTAGCGGCGATTTCCTAATAAAGGCAAAATTCCTTATATTTCTGAAAGGTTGGTGCTACATACGGTAGGAAGATGATGACTGGCCACATCAAGTATTCCACAGGCTTGCGACTAGGAGTAAACAGAGTGGGGCAGGCACTTAAACGCGTTAATCCACGCCAGCACCATGAACGACAGACATCCATTACCCGCCACTTAAACCCTGTTCCATACTATGCCGAATACTTTGGACACAAGCTCCATCTTGATCAAAACGAAAAGCTTATTCGTTATGGCGTGACAGAGGTTATAGCAGTAGATGGCTATAGCTCCTTTATAACTGCTACATCGGTAATGCCATTGAAAAATAATATCACCATCTACAGGGATGTGTTCAGGTTAGCTCCGACATGAAATATATATTATTTGCCGTGCACATTTTTCAGGTATAAAAAACTCTCAAAACTTCTCACTTGAATTAAAAGGTACAATTTAATGATACTCGTCATCCACTTGTTCTATTACTAGGGAAACCATACTACGTCATGGTTTGTTTGACCAAGTGAGAGTGGACCATGGGAGAGAATTTTATCTAGTGCTGACCGTTCAGGATCACTTAAAGGAGTTACGAAATAATACATCTAGACAGCCATACATACAAACACAGTCAAAGCAGGTACGTGGTAATATAGAGGGAAGGAGAAATGAACCGGTTATTTTCTATAGTGATCGGTCGGCGTGGACCTGAAAAACCAAATTTTCGCGGGTTTTCTGAAATAAGGTGTTAAAGAAGATATAACTCCTTAAGAGCAGGTTGAAAACCTGACGCTTTCAGTGCTAGCACGTCGTCAACAATAGCTTCAGGCTGCAAGTCCTCCGCCATGCATCCCTCTTTCCATACTTAAACGGCAACTGATTCTGCATTCTCGTCCCCAGACCCTCCTGAGGGCCTCAGCACGAAGACCAGGAGGGTCTGTGACCCAGCATTTGAAGTCCTAGATTTTAGGACTTCCGGTTATTTCCGATTCAAAAGTAAGTTACAGGATTCTCTTTTAAAAGCTTTGAATCACCTAAATTAACAGTCATTGGCACTTCGGCAGGAGCAAGCGAACGCTATTAGAAACGTTGTAAAAAATCAGAAATGACCGGAAGCCCTAAAATCTAGGACTTCAGAGCCTCCTGATCCTCGTGCTCTGGTCCCCAGGAGTCTTTGGCGAGTCTAGTATTGATAAGCTGATAAGTATTTGTTCTGCTTTTATATTTCTGAATTAAAGAACCATGCTGTGGAACGGCTCTGGGTAGAGGTTAACTGTCGCACAAACTATCCTATAAAGAGAGCACTCGTTCAAATGGAAAACGATGGTGTCATTGATATAGAGGATGAAGTAACAAAGTTCTGTGTCTCTTGGGTGGCGAAGAAAGTAGTGGAAGTAGGACTGAGCTACGTGGTCAACTCATGGAATTCACACCCCATTCCAGGTAAGGAGTCCTAGTGTTAAAAAAAATATATAGCAATAAAAAAAATAGGAATATTAAACGGACTAAAATATGTAGTGTTCCATTGGATGAAACGCACGTTCGCGTATGGCTCAGCTATTGCTGTAAGTCGTTCGACTATTTCAATCGGTTGGCAAGTGAGTTGCCAAGGGAAAACCCATTGATACACGGGACATTTTTATAACCCGCGTGGGGAATTCTCCCTAAAATGAATTAAGGATAACCCTTCCGGATTAGTCATACTATTTTTTCAAAAAGTAGAATAGAAACGTGAATGCGATTGTCTATAGATCTCTAACCGCAGAGACTTCCCTTAAAGCGCATAGCTAATTTATGTATCTCGACAGTTTAGTCCAGAAGAATAGTCGCTCAGATCTGTAACTGACACCAACTTACTTTAAAATTGTGCAGGTAAAGGTGTTCCACTACAACGACGATCTACTAACAACAAGGCCGCTCCAGTTGACGGCAATGCAGTACCAACAGTCGAATTAGCTGTGCAGATGTTTCGCGGAGATCTGACTCAAGAACACTTCTTTGGAAGGGATCCTTTGGCGGCCAATATTTCAAAAGCAGATGCTAGAGAAAGAGAGTTCACAAAATACTTTCCGAGTTTCAAAGTATTGTTTAATGAAATTGCCAATACGAACTATAACCCTTTCCAAGATGCTGTACTGTACTTTTTGAGGCTCACACATTATCTCGCTCGCGCTTGAAGTTATAGATCGTTTCTTCAATACTTTTTGAAAGTTCGTTTGAATAAAGAATTGAATAGAGGTCCGAATAATGGATATAGACGTGATCTATAAATTATAAACTGAAAATCTTTGACCTTAGCGTTGAACAAAGTTTTTTTTTTCACCGTTCAAATTTAAAGAGTAGCATATCTTCTAGTTACTAATTTGAGGAAATCGACGTCAACAACATCATCAACAACAAAAGTTCATTGTACTTCAGAATTAGTTATTAAAAGGTTAAACAATAACTGTCAAACACACGATTTTATGCTAGAATGCTAGTACTACTCCCTACCAAGACGGTGTCTCTCCGACCCGCACCACCATCACCCGATAGCTGAATATGAAACTGATAAACGCAACAACAACATCAACAAAGTCAATCTGTGAAGGAAGTCTCTAGAAACTTTAAGACGATTCAAATGCGCTTTTAATTTTCAATCAAATTAACCAGGCTCTCAAAGCCACGGGCCCGCTTTCTTTTATTTACACTATCTTCATCTCGGCAATGGGGGCAGGAACTACTGTTTCGATACCACTCTTCTGCGCATTCAACGCATGCTACAAGACGGTCACAGCATCCAGCAAACACAATGCCATTGGGAGGCATGACATTTAGGCATATAGTGCATTTAAACGTGGCCGTCAGAGCGCTGTCTAGATCGTGCAGCCTCTTACAGCACTTCGTGTTTCGCTGGATGGACTCTTCTATGTCGTCCAGTTTGTCGAGTATGAGGCTTGTGTTATTGTGATCAGCAAGTGATGGCCTGCTGTCCACGGCAAGTCCTCTTTTCCCCTTTCCTTGCCTGCGTGCAATCTTGGAACGCTTCAATTTTACTCTCTCGTACTCTATTTCTCGGCATGCATATACTTTCATCGTACCTTTGCCCCAGAATTCTGAACCTTGATTAATGAAAGGAGAAAGAATCAGACATTCAAGTTATTCGTTTATTCCAAGGGTGTTTTTTTTTCTAAGAGATGGATGGCGCCAGGTGAGTATGAATTAAACATCTCATTAACAATTATGCACTACAACGACAAGCATATGGTTTTTGCGAGTCGATAAAACAGCCAATCAACGATGCCCACGTACCATAGTGAGAAGCAGCAAGTACTGATTCACCTCCATAGTATCGAACGAAACTGAGATAACGCCTCGCCAAATTTAAAAGAAACTTATTTAATAATAAAGCTTTCAGTTTGTGAATAATAATGATAATTCAACGTGGAGCACGTTTGATACGTACGCCCATGCAAGTGTCTGTAACGGGCAGTTAACTTACCGCGAGTCCCCGGATTGTCCAGAATCTCAAAGCCATTGGTGTCCAACATTATTAAATCCTCTTCAATATTGAGGTACTCTTTCGAAATTTGAGCAACATCTGTCACCGTGCATTGTTCAGGCTTTAGTTTTAAGTAGGCACTGGCCGTCGGGGCAGGAGTCATGCTATCAAGGTCAAATTCTGCGAGGAAAACTTTTCTGCGAATCTCTCCCGATGATCTAAAAGGTCTGGTTGAGCCTGATGAGAAAGAGGGATTTCGATGAGCAGACTGACTCCTGTTGGATGGCGGATCATTTACGTTATAGGCTCCTGGTGGCACACTAGTGCTGCTGGTGCTGGCTATGCCAAAATCTTGCGGTGATGGTAGTAGTGCAGTGTTGTCTGCAGCTCCCATATCTGTGCCCTTGACTTCAAGCGACGTTCTATCGAGCCACAATGTCGTTTCAAAGTTACCCAAACCGTTGGGGAATCTCGCTACTCGACTAAAATCGTCTTGTAAATAAAGACCACTTCTTTCAACCTAATAAAATAACAATATAACAGGACGTGTCGACCGTTTTTACAAAACAGATATAAGCGGTCTACCTCTGTAAGTAACCGCTACCTCGTGAACGTAACATCGCAGCCCTTAATACTACAAAAATTAAACACAGTAGTAACCTGTTATTTTCACAATTCTACTATACCTTCAACCCCCGCCTTGCTAAAATCCGAAGATGGACTTTCAGTCTATTAAAAGACTCCATATTATAGCAAATCTAAATGGCATTCTTTTTTAATAGTGATTCGAGCATGTCTGCCACGTTCACTCTGGTTCACGCCAAAATAAAAGCAAAGGTACTGATTACACGCAGCGGGCTGAATCCGTTTAGCAGGATGGCTCGGTTGTCATGTAATGACCAAGTTCATTTTTGGTTGCGTTGAACTAACGCGCAACAAAATAAAAGGTCGAGACCTTGTACTCGGGTACTAAAGTGGGAACCGGGTCCCTGTGTGCACGTGTTTTGCGTTGATGATTCCGTTGACCCATAACTTCTTGCTACACTCCTTTTGCAAAAATGTCGTTTGCTGACGGAGCAAAGTGGACGAAAAACAACTTGGGTACCCAGAGTGTGGACAAAGCACCATTTTGTGAAGTGTGAACGCACCCAATGAAAAACGCACGAAACACCTGCTTTATTTAAGGCCCGTTTACACGTTAAAAGAGAAGGAACGGCTCGGTTAGAAACAAGTACCGGTTCCAGACGAAATCTCCTGTTTACACGTACAAATTCTGTAATGTGCCCGACAGAGAAAGACACGGTACTTGAGAGCCCCTTGGAACGGGTACTAGACTGTTTACACGTTGTTTTCTTCGAGACCGGTAACGATAGAGCCCGCGATAATTAAATAAAACTGCTTCGATTAGTTGTTCATATGCGCTTAATCTCCGACATTCATGGATGCAGGTTTACAAGCACTTTTCTGGTTTCTTCTGAAGAAGAGAACACGAAATTCACGTTTGACAGCGCGTGCGATTCGTCAAAGAAGTTCTTCTGAAAAAATGTACCGAATTAGGAGAAAAACAAGGCTTACGGTTCTCCTATTAACAGCCCTTGTATCGCACTTTACAGTCGAAAGGGGCTTCTGGCAAATTCCAAGAACAAGCGCTAGGTTTGATCTTACATACAGCACTTACTCTGACGATCAGTGGCATGCTAGCTTCCGAGTGTCGAAGAATACTTTCCAGTTTCTTCTTCTAACACGCATGTGACGTACGCTAAACAACTGACGTGGAGCACCACGGGCTCATAAAAAACGTAACAGAACGGTACCGAAAAAAGGGCGAGCGTTTACACGTTGAAAAGAAAACAAAAATGTGGGTACGGAACCGTTTTTTATCGGTTCCGTTCCGAAAGGGGTCCATAGCCGCCTATGGACCTTTTTAGGAACGGAACGGATACAACTGGAACGGGTCAAGTACCGTTTACACGTCGAATTTTGTCGGAGCCGTTCGGCTTTTTATCCGGGCCGTTCCAATATTTTCGGTCGTGTAAACGGGCCTTTAGTCTGCGTAGCAAGCGTTTCCGCGCGAGCTCGTTGACAATGCTCTCGCTCCAAATTTCGCGCAATAACTCGAGGGAAAACGCTTGCTACGCAGGCTAGCCTTTTTTTAAAACTCCATTTTCAAGATCGTTGTCGAAAAGTAACCTCCATTTGGACGGTTTTAGCGTTAAGGCAAGACAAAAACTAAAAACGCATGAGTGCAGATACTGCCTGAAAAACAAATTTGTCACATAAAAACATACTTGCCCTCCATCAGGAAAGGTTGTCTGAATTTTGTGAGGTTGCCTAGCACGTGATTTTTCTAGCTACTGCAGTACTGCCCACAAATTTTCGTTTTTTTTGGTGGGGGATCATTTAAAGATTCGTCAGTCTGAATTTTCCAGTTCTAAATGCGACAAACTGTTAGCAAATTTCGTGTTCATTTTATATAAAATAATCAAATGAAATCGCAAGGTCTGGATATCAAATCTGTGACATAAAAACAAACCCACACCCAGCCAGCAAAAGTCGCTTGCATTTTTTGTGGTTGCCTAGCACGTGATTTTTCTACCTCGCCTACGCAGTAAATTTGGGGAGAATCATTTTCACGTAAAGATTTTAACTGACAGAGACTGCTTCCACTTTCATATATAATGCAAAGAAGCAGGAAACTATCGCTTTTAAGATGATACATTTTTATTATGACTATTATTTTTTGTGTTTGGGTTCGCCGACAGGTATAGGAAATTTTCCCGTGGTCTGTTCACACGCTGGTTCAATCAAAGTTCTGAGTGGCCATTTCACGCATGATTCAACTTTCGGCATCTCTAAGAAAAGAGGAGGAGAATTCAACCAAAAAAAAGTGCGAAAGTCTTAGCCAAATTTTCTAGGCTTTGAGAAATAAGATCAACGTAAATCGTGTAAATAGTTTTAATTTTTTTTTTTAAGGCAAAAATGTCAAAAAAAGAAAAGAAATCATTAAACCCTGTTGCCAGTCTCTCTCCACCCCCACACCCACCTCGACCACATTTTTGCGGCCGTGGGAATAAACTCGATACTTTTCCATGAAGAAATGTTAAAGGTAAACTTAGTTGAAGAGAGATGCTATACTCACTCTAAACACTGCTGAAATACGCTCTGCTGTTAAGTCGTCTTCATTAAAATTAATTCTTTGTTGTCCCCGCCAAAGGACAAAAGTTCTGTCGTCCATGACTGACTGAAAGAAAAAGATCAAACAACGAAAAAGTTCACCACGTAGCAAATCTGAAAATATTAAGTCAGAAATTCTTCTACCAAAGAACACTTCAAAACGTAAATTGACGGCTGAATTGAATTATTACACTTACCAATAATAGAACCGCCTCGACTGTCCACAAATCTTCGCTATATAATTCCGCTCTTTCCTTCGCTGAAAAAAAAAATTTGATCTTGCACCGCGAATAACGCGCCAAGACTGTTAATAAGTCAGAACCGCAAAAATCTCGTTTGCAGAATCTTCGGGCTTTTTGGTCAGCGGGTGGTTGCTAGGAGGCCTGTCCTTTTCTCACTGACGGATCAGCCCCTCCTACGGAACAGACCTACCGCGGACTCTGGGCCGGTAAGAGCATTCGTTTCACGTAACGCATGCGCAGCTACATAGTCGGCTGCCCTAAGTGGCAGCGAAAACGAAAGTCAATTATCATTTTACCGTTTTTGGTGTTTGGTCTTTCATAAAACGAAAAAAGTTAAAATGGAAGTCGGCTTACGTTTTCCGTTTTTTGTGTCTGTTCTTTCAAAAACCAAGAAACGATAAAAGGGAAGTCGATTTCCGTTTTTCCGTTTTATGTGTTTCTTTGTAGATAAAAGGAAAAACGATAAAACGGAAGCCGATTTTTGTTTTTTCTTTTTTGTGTTTTCTCGTACATAAAAGGAAAAACGATAAAACGGAAGTCATTTTTTGTTTTTTCGTTTTTTGTGTTTGTTTGTACATAAAAGAAAAAACGATAAAAGGGAAGCCGAATTTCGTTTTTCGTTTTTTTCTGTTTCTTTTTTCGAAGAAACAAAAAACGATAAAACGAAAGTCAAATTTCGTTTATCTTTTTTTGGAAAAAGATAGCATAAAACAAAAAAAAGAAGATGTTGAGTAAGTTTTGGTTTGGCGGGATAAGATTTATGGACTCAAGAAAAGAAACAAGGACTTCTGGAATTTTGGCAATTTTTGGAGATTTTACCATTATTTTTAAGTGCAAATATTCTTTGGCGCCGTCATATTATAAAATTTCAATAAAAAGGTGTTTTTAAAGCAAAAGTAATTTAGACACTTGTAACATTATAAACGAATTAATCGAAAAAGATGTCAATTTCATATCTTTCTGTTTGCTCAACATGGAACAGAAAATTTAAAAAAAGGGTTGGCCGAACCGTGCACGGACCTAACCTAATTTTTCGTTTCTATTTTTTTTTCGTTTTCTCTGGCTGTTTAAGTGAACAAAGAGCTGGGACAGAGAGGGGTCCAGGAGGGGTGGGGGGAGGGGTTTGAGTGGGGGTTGGTGGTTCAATTCGGAAACTCGTCTAGGTGTTGTTGGTCAGCAGTTTTTATAATCCTGGTATGCGTCTTTTTTCGCGGGTCCTTCAAAAATGGCGGGGATGGAAAACGTAGTTACTGCTCGCTACGTGAAGGAGCTTGTTGAAGAGCAAGGCAAAACACAAAAGAAGTAGCTGATATTCCAAGACAACAGCATCCAGCAGTGAATGGACTATCTGAAAGGAGTGTCAGGCGATTTTGTGCTACGAATGGCATACGGCGTTATGTTGATATTCATAATGTGGTTACACCTGCGATTACTGAGGTGATTGTAGCTCCCCTTCATAATATTAGATTCAGGTAGTGTGTAATATCGTAGCATACTGTAAAATTCCGAAAATAAGCCCGGGAGCTTATATTTTTCAAAGGCCCTTTTTGAGGGGCTTATTTTTGGAGGGGCTTATATTCGGAGAGGCTTATCTACGGAAGGAAATTTGCGTTTCAATATCGATTGGGCTAGCCTTATAGCGGGTGGTTGCCAGGAGGCCTGTCGATCTCTCACTGACGGATCAGCCCGTCCTACGGAACCGACCTATCGCGGATTCTGAGCCGGTAAGAGTGGCATTCGTTTCAAGTAACGCATGCGCACCAACATAGTCGGCTGCCCTAAGTGGCAACGAAAAGGGAAGTCAATTATCATTTTACCGTTTTTGGTGTTTGGTCGTTAATAAAACGAAACACGTTAAAATGGAAGTCGGCTTACGTTTTCCCGTTTTTTGTGTCTGTTCTTTGAAAAACCAAGAAACGATAAAAGGGAAGTCGATTTTTGTTTTTCCGTTTTATGTGTTTGTCTGTAGATAAAAAGAAAAAGATAAAACGGAAGTCGATTTTTGTTTTTCCGTTTTTGTGTTTTCTCGTACATAAAAGGAAAAACGATAAAACGGAAGTCATTTGTCGTTTTTCCGTTTTTTGTGTTTGTTGGTACAAAAAACGAAAAAAGATAAAACGGAAGTCGATTTTTGTTTTTCCGTTTTTTGTTTTCTCGTACATAAAAGGAAAAACGATGAAACGGAGGTCATTTTTCGTTTTTCCTTTTTTTGTGTTTGTTTGTACATAAATGGAAAAACGATAAAACGGAAGTCGAATTTCGTTTTTCGTTTTTTGTGTATCTTCCTTCGAAAAAACAAAAAACGATAAAACGGAAGTCAAATTTTGTTGATCTTTTTTTGGAAAAAGATAGCATAAAACAGTAAAAAGAAGATATTGAGTAATTTTTGTTATGGAGAGATAAGATTTACGGATTCAAGAAAAGAAACAAGGACTTCTGGAATTTTGGCAATTTTTGGAGATTTTACCATTATTTTTAAGTGCAAAAATTATTTGGCGCCGTCATATTATAAAATTTCAATAAAAACGGTGCTTTTAAAGCAAAAGCAATTTAGACACTTGTAACATTATAAACGAATTAATCGAAAAAGATGTCAATTTCATATCTTTCTGTTTGCTCAACATGGAACAGAAAATTTAAAAAAAGGGTTGGCCGAACCGTGCACGGACCTTAGAGACTACTAGTTTTTTTTTGTGCCTTATCTTACGTTGTTAATAAATAGATTTAGCCAGGGCTAAAAGCGAAGCTCCTATTAACTCGAATTTATAATTTAAATCGAACAATAAACTTGCAATTGTATTCCACAAATCAGTTAACTTTTTAGAGCACATTCATGTGACTTTTGAGGGAAAGGCTAAGTTATTTTAGAGAAAAATAATTTGCAAACAGTCCAAGCTAAGAGTGAACTTAATCTTAGATCGAGTTGATAGCCTTTATATACGTACACCCAAAGAATAGCAATCATCTTCGATCACATTTAAGAGCCATAATGGCTCTTGATCACAGTAGATTAGGCCTGGAAAACAAATTCTTGAAAAACAAATCAGGCCGAATTTTTTGTGTTCGACAAGTTTATAATTTACTTTACAAAATCTTGCCAGCAAGTCTGGGGACGTGTAAACCAACCTTTTATACTTTTTATACATCACATCTGAGGTGAAACAGTACCATGAGGCGCTGTTTTTACTATACAGACCTCGGACAGAATGCAGTATTTCACAATTTTGCAATACAAATTGCACTCACTCCCCGGACTCACTCAAGATTCAGGACGATCGAAGCACGCGAGTGCTTTTACTAAAAAAAAATCCAAAATCACCTGCATATACGGCTAGCCGGTTCTCACTTTTGACAAGCGCCAAAGTCGACTGTTTAAATCAAGATTACTAGAGTTATACGCTTCAACGTGATAAAGAATTTATTATGTTTATTTTTTGTTTAATGGTTTTATAACGATGTGTAATTTTCTTCGTTTGATACGCGCGGCATTTTGAGTACTCCTGCAAGCGATGTTCACGAGCGACTGAAAACAAACGGCACAGCGATTAAAATTACAAAAAGAGACCACTAACAACCAATAAAAGGAAAATAATTCGGTGAAACATATACAGAGACAACAATTTTCATTTACAAAGACAAGTATTAAAGTGTCTCTTAAAATCCTTGTTTATGTTTTAAGCCGGCTTCCTGGTGTTTGCTTTTTTCAAAGATGAACTCGAGGCAAGAAAATTGCTCAAAGCTTTCTTTTACAGCCAGAATTATAGCTAAATATTCTTTGAAACGTTTTCTTTCTGTTTGCGGTGAGAAAATGTCTAAAGGCTTTTTAAAGTTCTATAAGCTTATAATCAAACCTGATACTCGGTCAGATCATTGTCTCAAATCTTCTGAAATCTTACAAACGTGCATAAACTAAATAGCCGCATAAACTGCGCCCGACTTCATTAAATTAGATATAAAAAACAAACACCAAATTCAATAATTACTCAGGCTTACCAGTCGAGCTGCACTGAAAACTATCAACTAAGGCCAGAATCGCTTCAGACTTTTCAACCCTCTGACGCATCAAGCAAGGTGAAAAACGAAAACGATGCCATCCGAAATCAGATTTCCGACTTTGACAAGCGACGTATTTCGCAACCAAAACCCCAATAAACAAACTAGCTGTGAATAACAGAAGACTCTTGAAGCTTCTTGATAGCAGCAGAATTTCATTTTGTACATCCAGTGGAAAAAGACAGTTAAAAACATCACAAGCTGACACAAAACTCTGTCAGCTTCAGCTCCCAAAGTAAACAAGTTTCAAGATGCTGCATAAATTTTCCGCATGAACTCACCTGTCAAATTTTGACCAATCAGAGCATAAAAATTGGACGTAGAGCGTGACCAGCGCGTGACCTTGGTGAGAAAAGTCAAAAGCAACTAGCATGTCTTCCCTGCCAGTAAAAACTGGCTGAATTCTAGCTTCCGAGGTCAGTTTGAAATCAAAATTTTAATTGTGCGGCACATATAAAACACAACATATTTCATATGAATTAAAAAAAATTAAACTTGAGCCTGCGATCATTTGAAAACTAGTAACTTGTCAGCGGATAACTTCAAAAAGATGCTCGACAACGATGGGTCGACACCTGAGCCCGCGATATGGTCAGGTGATACTGATCAGCGGATACCCTATTTTGACAGCTGTCAATTGATCACAACATTGATGTACAATGTGTGGGCAATATCAGTCTTCCTGTGCTCCCAAACTAGCTAGAAAGTGTGAGATTGAACATTGGTTGCCCTGTGGTGCCGACGGACGGGCGGTGTACGGTCACGTGATTATCAAATTTTCTGGGATGGGTAGATTTACTTACCCATGGTGCTCCGCAGGCGCGCTTCGCGCGCCAGAGCTCCGCTATTACCTTCCCCGAGCCCAGGACCTTTTTCCAGTAGTTGTGTCATGACTTCACAAATGAAGTCTGCAAGATGAAAATCAAATTAAATCTGTAGAGACACTGATTACATGCGGTCATTTAAATTTAAAAGCCACTGCTGATTAACATATTCGTTATTGAATTTGCTTGAAATTAGGATCTTGAATAATTTGTGTAATTATCCGGGAAGTGACTATAAAATTTTGTCCAAATCTATAGCTACCCTATTTGCGTGCGTGGGATTCGCGCGTGGACTCATTGCATACGAATATGGTGTCTGGACACGTGACCTATCGGTTGGGCCTTAGCTGAGGTTCGAAGTTCAAATTTCGCCGCCGTGTTA